TTTCTGGGAAGCTTGCGATGCTCTTACACAAAAATGTCCTTTTGAAGTGGGCCAGAGTACCCCACAGGAACAGACCACTAATTCTACATGGGGGAAAGACAAGGTCCAGGCCAGGCAAAAAGGCAAGACAGCAGTTATTTTCCATGGGAAATTCAGAAAAGTTGCCCCCTCTCCCTCTCCCTCCCCCCTCCGTTCTATTTCCCATAAAATGAATTCATCTTCAGAATTTCAACTCAACTTTAGCATGCTGCTTTTCCTCACTCTGGAACATTACCTTTTTTCCCCCCCTCCTTTTCTTCCTCATGGTAAAATGGAAAAGAGGAAGAACAGATAAAAATAACCCCCAAAATAAACTTCGGTTTAGATGCTAAAAATCCAAACTATTTCATAAAAACAAAGCACTACCAGAGAAAAATAGGCCATTTGTTGTCAAGTATCTTGACAGAAAATATTTGATGCAAACCATCCCTGGCTGTAGAAGAATTTTACTGTCTCACAAGGAGTGTTAACCCTGATATCCTGCCAGATAGCAACTCAATTACGTCTAGCTCCTTTGAATTCCCCCCGAAGTGCCAAATGGATACACTGCTTCTCTTTGCTGCCTTTCCTTAGGTATTCCTAGAGTAGTGTTCGACTGAAAAGCTCTTTGCCCTGTCCTAGAACTAAATTCACACTACTCTAAGAGGCTGAATCTCGCAGACAGTTGATGTTTTGCTGACTGCTTTTGGAATTTTCATGACAAAAGCGTTGTCAATTATCAGTTATATGAAGCTGTCCTTGGCAAAATAGTCTTTTGAGCTAAATACACCAAAAAAGTTACCTGCATTCCTTCAGAATCTAACAACACAAAGAGAAGGTGAAATTCGCACAGTAAAGTCACACACAAAACCCTTTTTCACAACTACAGATTTTTCTTTTTGTACTCTACTGAGCCAAGGCTTCAGGGTTGGTTTTTTTTAAGCACTGTACAGACAAGCGGCAAAATCCTTGTCCCACCAAGCTTTTAAGTACATCATGAAACAAACAGGCAAAGGCAACTGAGAAGGAGCCATGAGAAACCTAGGAAATACCAAGTGTATTATATACTCTTAGTTATCACTGAGACATTCTGGAAATACCTGGAAAATCAACAGAAAGATAAGACTTATCAACTTAGCTTTCAGGTTACTTAAAACACTCCCCCTTGCTTTTTGCTAGTTCCAGGCAGAAGTATTCCATTAAAACACAAAATTTCCCAGTAACTTCTCTGGGAGCAGGAGTGCTATTTAAAAAAAGAACAACAAACCACCACCAGTGCAGTGGTCCTTGGCTTTGCTGGAGTGTAGCACTGCAAGGATTTAAGGAGAAGGATCTCAAGGAGATGTGATAGGGCACACTGCAGGTTGCCTGTGCAGGAGAGAAGGCCAGAGTCAGTATACTAAAGCACAGCCCCAGGCTGACCTTCCACTGCTGAATGCTGCAGAGCTGCCTCCGTATCATCACCGATTTCACCAGTGCAGTGGTCCTTGGCTTTGCTGGAGTGTAGCACTGCAAGGATTTAAGGAGAAGGATCTCAAGGAGATGTGATAGGGCACACTGCAGGTTGCCTGTGCAGGAGAGAAGGCCAGAGTCAGTATACTAAAGCACAGCCCCAGGCTGACCTTCCACTGCTGAATGCTGCAGAGCTGCCTCCGTATCATCACGGATTTTCAAGCTAGAAGTCTGGTGAATACCTAGGCAAATGCATGCTGTCAGACCCAATCGCTCATGCCAACAAGAACTGGAAGGATCTGCGCCATAACCTTTTTCCCAGTGCAGTGAGACAATTGGAGTCTTGGTGTTCAATGCAGCAACTGTATACCCCTGGGACAGTGCTGTAAGAGAGTCACTGACCTCAGAGCTTAGAGGGCAGAGCTCAGCTACACCGGCACAAAAGGTACACAGCTATTACAGCTGAACCCACTCCAGCACCATCACCCCCGTATAACATACCGATTCTAACAAACACATCTTTGTCGGAGAACTGGAAGTCAGACAAGGTACGCTGCAGCGAGCAACCCCTAACACTAATGTAAAGGTTCACTGCCAATAGCAGGACCCCAGAAACCTGGATGACCGATTTGGCTTGGCACATCTACTGCTTTGAATCGTGAACCCGTTGGTTTCTGAAGGGCAGGGTACTACACTAGCCAACAAGCAAAGACAAAGCATGTAATACCAGTGTCAACACCAGGCACACAAGCATGACCCATATGAACATATTCAATTACAAGAATATTAGCTTTTACTTCAATGGAAGGCTTATTAAAAAATATTCAAAATTGACTTGGAGGGGGTCAGAAGGCAAAGGAGACTTCCAGCACCTGAAAATTTAAACCAATTCAGTAAAACTTTTGACTGAAAGCATTTGCTAGTTTTTTTTACTGCCTGAGAAATGTAACATTCTATTTTGAAGCCTTTATGCTCAGAAGTGAAGAATCACAGATATTTCCCTTGGAAATCTCCATTTTGATTTTTAAGAGTACAGTGTGTTACAGGAAGAGTTTGAAAGAATTTCAACCAGCTGTGGGCCAAGATGAGAATCAGATGTCAAACATTTACATCTAAGCACACACATCACCATACATCACCTTCCACTCCTCACTCCTTCCTGCTTCATTTACCTAGCCTTTACTAGGGAGGTAAGCATGGTCCTGCTCTTGCCCACACTTAGCAAAGTCTTTCATCTTGTCTTATTTTAAAGTCTCCTTAAAATTAATTGGCTCCAGTTTCCTGTCTCCTCTCACAGCTGTTCACTTGCCCCAGAGAGGTAAACAGTGTAAGAGACAAGGACTGTATGTATTAGCCATGCTATTAGTATGTTTAATAATGAAACCCCAAACCAGGCAAATTTCCTTTCAAGTTTGTTTGGCTTCTCTAAATCCTTTTTCAACACTACTCTTTCACTATGAGCAAGAAAAGCAAGCTACCATCAGCACTTCTATACCTTTTTACTGCAGAAAACCAATTAGACATTAGCTAGCAAATGAGACTTCCCAGCCTCCTTGTTTTCAGGAGCATCTAGGAACAGGGAACCACCATACTGCCTCACTTTTCCCTGGAACATGCTTCTAATATTGGTGAACAAAGCTGGATGCAGAGCAGAAAGACCGAGTTATCTGTTGACAGGTAAACCACAGGCAATCGAAAGGGCAGGTCAATGACTAATGTAGTACCAGGAAACAAAAGATTCCAGGGTTTGCTGTGAGCTTTGGATAATCACATAGTGTGGACAACTCCCACAGAGGCTGAGAAACTCCTCACAGGTGAGGGCATAAGCTGTTGAGGGCAGGGACTGTCTTGTTTCATGTTTGTGTTACTAGCATAATAGAGACACCTGTAAGCCCAAGACATAAGAATAACGATGATAAAGCCCAGTGTGTTTTATAGATAAAAGCAGCACTAGTCACACAAAAGTTGTCATTACAGCCAAAAGTACCTTTTATGTGGCAACAGCTTATTCCTTTTGCTCCAAGCCTTCAACATATGGGAATATTCAGCAGCTGAATAGGGTTGGTAGATCAAATACTGCATTTCCCATTTGTTTCCATCAGAGAAGTAAGCAACTGCCTCAGTTTCCAGAGAGCAGCTTTCCTATCCATTTCTGCAGGACTGCCCCAGCCCAGACACCACTGGCAGAAGCCTAGCTGTTCATCCTAACCTTGCTGTCTCATCTCCTGGAGTCTTCTTTAAACACTATCCCTATTACATTAAGACAGAAAAATGGCCAAGGCAAATGTGCATGGGACACAAACTGCTGCCTGCACTTCCCTGCAGATTCTGTAGCACGTCCAAGCTCCCTGTCACACTCCTACAGAGAAACCCTTTGCTAACAGCAAACCCTAGAGTAAAACCCTTTCCCACAGTTTATTTAGCAGCTCTACAAATGCTGCCTGTCTTTCAGATATCTAGATATCTGGCTAGTTCATGTTCCACACCTTAAGGACCAGGGCTGTCCTCTGCAGCATTTCTTTACAGCTGTCCAAAACCTCTCTTCTACCTGTGCCCAGCCACACCAGTTTACCACCCTGCAGGGCTCAACTCTTCCCAGGGAATCAAAGACCAACTCACTTTTTCACACCTGTACTCGGGTTCCCAGGGGACAGGAAGATCCAGGAATCACTGCCTTTGCCCAACTTCAACAGATTTCAAAGCTGTCTGCCTGTCAGCACAATCTGGTGAGCAGAATGGAGACAGAAGCTCACTCATCACATCATGGTGCCTCTGGAGATGCAGAAATCCAGGCTGCTTCCAAGTCAGGCTTGTAAGCAAGCCCCCCTCAAAGACCCCAGTGCTGCAAACTCTTTTGTTCATAGGCTATGGCTTTAACAAACAGCTCTTCAGCCCTTCTGCCTTCACTCTCCCCTCCTTTGCCATTCTCCGCTCCTCTCCTATACAACAGTCAACCTCTTTTCCTTCTCTCAGCAGCCCTCTTTCTTCCCATGTCTTGCCTTCCCCCTTTATCTCCCTTCTGCCCCCAACTCCTCCCTCTTGCACTTCAACACATCTGTTTCTAATCTTAGGCATCAGTTGGAAACAATAACCCCTTTTTATTTTAAATCTGAATATTAAATGCCCAAGCAAATCAAAACAGAGTTAAACAAATTTGACACTATGCCTGAAACAAAGGCATTTTGTTCACCTTGTTGTGCCAAAGAGGTTCAAGCTCCTCACTAGTTCGTGGCTTAAAAACGCTGCCCTCTTTCAACAAGAAACACACATTCCGAAAGAAGTCTGTTAACCACCACTTCTAGAAAATTAATTCCAACATTAAAAAGATCTCTGGCTATCAACCTGCTAATAAATACAGCAACAAGAAACACATAAAACCCCCTGAACACCACTGATATTAAGAGTTTTCCATAAAAGTTTTTTCTTTACAAATCCCTTTCTCGAGCTCATCAGAAATGAATTTCAGTCATGCAGAGAGGGCACATGGAAGTTTGATTAAATGCACTAAACAAAACCAAAAAGCAACCTACCTAAAAAGAGAATTGAAAGTGCAGACATTCCGTCTCCAAGCAAGAGGGACTTTTCCTCCCTTTTTCTTCCTTTCTCCCAGGAACAGCAGGCAGACCTGCACAGGATTCAAAGGAACGCCTCTGGAATGCACTGAGTGTAATTGCATCCATGTGCCAGAAAAATAACCAACTTCACTCTTTTTTCCTTTCTGCTATTCATCTCCTTGTCCATATTCCATCCAGATTCAGTGAGAGTTTTTAGATCTCTGCAGCTGGTAATTCGGGCCCTTGAGTTTCTGGAAAAAGAAGAGAGACAGAGGCAGTGCAGCAAGGAGTTCACATCTACGGCAGCATAGAACAATTTTGCTTGTCTGAAAAGAAAAGGAGAGAAGCAGGGGAAAACACTGCTCAATGTTCACCACATGGCTGCCTCCCAGCAGAGCCCCTCCCTACCATCAACTGGGATTAATAGTGAAGACCAGTCATGTGGGTGAGGTAGAGCTCATTTCTAGCAATAATATATCTATTTACCTTTGGAGGAGAAACAAGAGAATTTCTCTAGTGTCAAAACAGTTAAGTTTGGAGGCAGTAAAAATCCAGCATGGGGAAAAAAAATCAGATTCGTCACTCAAGGGCTAGAGAGACTCTCGGAAAAAAGCACACATGCTCTTCAGAATGATAAACACATTCACATGTATACATTATCTTTATTCTCCTTTGTAGCTAGTAAATCACAGAATTAAAGCTTTTAGTCTTACTGGAAGACTTTCTCCATTTGCTTCATGATTTTCTTTTTTTTTAGTTTCTAGGAGAGAAAATTCCCAAAAATTGATTTAATTTTGCATTTCATCTGTGCTGCACTGACAAGAGAAAAAGCCAAATCAAACAGAAATCGGTTGTCTACATTTAGTGACTGCTGTGGGATGCAACCTAAAACTCACTCCCAAAGGCCATTTCAAGGTAGCCCAAGACCTTCACAGCCCATCTTCAGCTCTACTCCAGTGCAGTTAGCAACAAGTGTGTTTTCAAAACTACCTCAGATACTCCATTCCATTTCTGCCATTGCAGCAGTGAAGATAAACCTCTCAGTTTCTGCAAGAAGGATCAAATGCAGTAGGGAGTAAAGCTCCCAGAAGATGACTTTGACCATCTACTAAGCTGAATCAGCCAGATCAGAACTTTAATTCTTTAGTAAAACATGTATCAAACTTGCTGCTCATAGCAAGGCCATGGAAACAAGGATGTTTAAATGTGTGCATATACACAACTCTTCTGAGGTACAGCACTTTACAGATACACAGGTCATGCTTAGACCACCTTTATATCCATATGCCCTAGGATACATCTGCTTTTTAGATAAGTGAAGTACTTCCAGCTAGCCTACTTGGGTATTAACAGAGGAGTAACACTGGCTACCTGAAACTCTACAGCAGCAGCAGAACCATTCAGGAAGCTGAGTAAGCATTTGGGTGGCTATCCTGCACTGATCTGGGTGTTGCCACAGCTATACAGATACACCAGGACCCCAGCTAGTTAGTTTAAATCTGCTAATACACATCTACATAAGCAGCAACTGCGTATTATTCTAAAAAATAGGCACACTCATAAAATAAGTGTCCATCATTACGACTGCAAATCAAACAAATGTACCCATCTTGGGGCCAAAGGAAAGCTTTGGAACACAGCAGAAAAATCCTTTCCCTTTGGAACACTTACAAATATATTTCTAAGACCTAAAAGAAAGAGTAGGCCATATGCAAGGCTGCTAGCCTGTGCTCTGAGACCTCACACTTCAAGCTCTCTTTAGCTCCCTGTGTAACCCCATCTACATGTAGTTTCTGTGTACCTCACTTGTAAAACCAGCAATAGTATGCTGCTCTCCCTCTTCAGGATTAAAACCAAATGCAGCAATCCTCACAAAGCCCACAATGCTTAGAAGCTCTACAGGAATTCAACACCTTACCTCTTCATTACAGTACAAGCCTTCCAAGCATCTACTGGAAGACAAGAAACACTGCTACTCTAGACCAAAATCAGACCCTAGATTCAGGTAGATCCCATGAGAGAGAAATAACATGGATAAAAATTATCCTTCTGCATCCTGTTTCATTAAAGTTTCCTTCGCCCCTCCTAGCCTCAGATAGAAACAAAAGCAGCATCTGGCTCCTCCTTTCCAAAACAGCTGTCCTCTGTGTAACAGTGAGAAAATATTTTAAACAGCATATTCAACTAATATAGACTGATGATGGAAAAGCAATCATTATTAGGTGAATATAGCAGTTCCTACAGAGCAGCTGTATCTATCGCCTTTACCCACAGTGTAAGAGCCAATTCCTTCAGAACTTTTCCCCACACACTTGACCAAACAGGCTGCCGGTTTTCAAACAGTTGAGTGGATCTGAGAGAACATCATTGATTTCCAGTGCAGGACATAAATCAATGGAGAAAAGTGCATTTAATCCCTTCCCCCACTCTCCAGAAGCCAAGCAGCACTGAGCTTGTCTCTCTGCATTACAAGTCTGACAGAAGATGTCCCAAGCTATGCTGTAAATACCCAGCATGCTGCTTTAAAGCTTTAATAGAATCAATGCATCAGAAACCAAGACAGAGAGAAGCCTTGTCACCATGCGCTCACTGCCCAGCCTCCACTGAAATCCACAGAGCTGGGATGTTGGAGGGATGTGCACAAAGGAGGAGGGGGGGGAATGTGGAGCATGAGAGAGGAGGCCATGCATGCAAAATCCCCTCTATCATCTTAGACAAGCCATTCCACAGCCTGTTCTCACATCATATTCAGCCCCTTCAGGAAGCTCCTCAAGAGCACGTTATTCTTCGGGGTTCAGTGGGGATTCTCCCTCTGGCGTTCATACCTATTATGGCAAGGGCATCTCACTTGTTTGCGTAACAGTTCCAGCAAGAAGGCTAGTAAGGGCTGGTGTAACTACATATAAGGACACCCATGTCACTCACCAGCACATCCTCTTAGGACCTTTGCTAATTGTGTTTGGGGAAATACATCATATCTGCAGCCCATTATTTTTCCAGAAGGAGCAAATTCTTTAGTAGGCTTGCGAGTGCTTTCACCTGTTACTATGCAATGCTGGCACAGCATGGGAGACAGGTATCACGCACTTCTTAGCAGGGAGAAGAGCAAGATAGAAAAACTAATGTTTGACACCATAAGCATTAAGGAAAGAGGCTTCATGAAAACCTTCATGGACTGAGTTCGGTTTTTGGAGTTCCTGTACTCCCATTGACAGGCCCATACTCCTAAGTCTGGAGTAGGCTCAGATTAAAATAGCTGTACACAAACATCTATAGAAATCCTCACAGGCCACAGACCAGTTTTTTTATGGTCTTCCCTGGTGCTTTCTCAGTTTCAGTCCCTTTCACATTTACACAAGTAACCTCTTTCAGGAAAATTTGTTCTCTTAAATCTGCATGCCCCAAGAGCCTGCCCAGCACTTGTTAGCTTGTTCCTGCATCTCAACTAGTAGAGGCATGGCAGGGGGGTCCTTTCCCTAACTGCTACTAGGGGTTTTTTGTACCAGGTTGTTCCTCTCACCTTGCTCCTCCTGCTCCAGGGAAACAGCTCCTTGAGATGTAGCTGCCAAAATGTATCCAGAAGCCATATTTTCTTCCCGAACTGATATTATATAGCAGTAACAGAGGCTATTACTACTCAGCTACCTTCTTGGGTTAAGTCTTTATTAACTCTGTTCTTCAAAACTCCCACTACAAACTTATCTCACACAGTTTAAATTAAATAAGCAGCTTACTGATACAGCCAGTAGAAGAACAGGGTTCATCCACCACAAGAGCACTTCGAATCTCTCAAGCAAAACCACGTTCTGTTCGGCTTTTGGCTTAGCAATGGAGAAAAAGCACAAAAAATACCATGACAAAGGAAAGGCAAACCACAGAAACAAATAAGTCCCTAAACAAGAGAACTCAAAACAGGCAAGAAGAAATTTTAGGGTAGAAAATAAAACCCTTCACACAGATTTCTTCCCACAATAAGCCACTAGCAGAAAGGTTACTTTATACTACCTCAGGACTCAGATACTGAGTTTTTGTTTTAGAAGCTCTCATCTCTCAAGTAGGCTTGAATAATTGATCATAAAAGCACTATTAGACATTTAATATTAGTAAAAAGTCTCACTTCAACAAGCCTTAGCACTCAGTAAGTGTATCTCTAAGAGATAAACCGAACAACCAAAAAAGCTCCCTCTAGTTTGAGGTGCCTCAGTCTGTACAGGGCACTACTCCACATTTATGTTTATGTTTGCTCTACAGGAGCATACTCTTAGTACTTTTTGTATAACCTTATTTTCTATATAAATCTGTAACTATATCCTCAATTTGTATCTTGAGGAACAAAAAATATGAAGTTCCACAGAGACAGCATTTCTAATCATTATTAACTTTACATTGTTGCTACAATAGGCAAGAACTGAGCACAACATAAACTACTTACAATGCACTATTGATTTTAAAGTAGAAGGCAAACCAGGGCAAAACCTACAATGTTTCATTTTCATTAACACCAAAAGCTTTAAATATTTTTACAATGCAAGACTTTAGTTTTCAAGCAAAATGCTAGCAGATCTTTCCTGAGAAGGAAAGCATTCCCTAAGCTAAAACATTACTACCTAGTCTAATCAGACACAAAAGCAAACAATAACACCTCCTTATCTTTAGAGTTCAGACCTCTTCCAACAAGAAAGAAAAAAAACCAACAACTGAAATAACCAGGAATGCTGGGTTTTATTCTGTTTCCTCTGAAAAACCTGCCAATGAAACACCAGGCTTTAATATCCCAGCTGTGAGATTGGAAAAGTGGCGAGTGAAGCTTATCTACGAATCCCAGGTGTGGCACATATGAGATTACCCAGGGAGGGTCAGAACACAAGTTAAAAAGCAGGAGAGAAGGATAGGTAGTTTCTTAGGTGGGGGAGTTATGGTAGAAGGGTATTTAATGGGTTGAAAATTTTGGTTGTTTTTTAAAATTTATGTTTTAGTGCATATATAATAGATGGTAAGAAAAAAGTTAGAGCAAAAGTTGAATAAACTGGCTAGGAAGAAGTATGTTTGTGAAAGTAATGGCTAAGAAAAAGAAGAAAACTTGTTTGTTGTTTTTATTGTAAGGTAAGAAAAATCTGGTTTTTTAATACATCAGTCTGAGTTTAATTAAAAATGCTTTAAATAGGTAGGTTGCTTTTTTGTTTTTATTTGAAGTGAAAAGTAAAACACCTTTTATTTTGTACTACTGACCTGCTTGACCTAGTAAACATCAACCATGTAAAGGTGTAAGATCTATCTTATGATAATATTATGCATAATATTTAAGTTGTTTTTATCTAAATATGAAGTAAATAATAATTATAGAATACAATGATATTTAGAAA